AGGGAGCCTTTCAACCTTCCGTTTTTGTTCTTCTTACTACCGCTCTGCGCTCCATTGGTATGCCCCGTACCTACCGAAACGCATCGCAATTTGCCAAAGTCAGCTCTGACCCAGAGGTCTTCATAGGTCGGTCCACCAGTCCCGGGAGCGCATGAAAAGTAACATGTGCGAGTGAGATGGAGTGTAGACCGCTCGGGCATCTCACTGGCACCTGTCGGTCTCGGACGCCACAGGGATTAGTGGACCGATGCAGACATCCGCTTTGACCTGGATCGCCTCCCTCACGCCATCCGGGGCAAATCCAATCGACACCGAAGCAGCTCTAAGAAATAAGAATTCGTAAAAGCATCTCGCCTGCTTGGTGTCGAACCCCCGTCCGCACGGTGCCTGTCCGAGGCGCTATCCTCTGAGCCAAAGCGGATCGCTGCAGGGGGCAGGCAACGCACCGCTGTTGTTCGCTCGCCGTTCGCCCCGGCCGGCGGCAGCAGCAAGCGGTGGCCGGCGGCGACTGCCGAGCGAACGAGACCAGCGCGCTGCCCGCCGTCTCCACAGATCCGTCCTGGCCCAGTGGATCGCGTCTCGGACCATCACCGAGCGGTCGTGGGATCGAAACCAAGTTGGCGAGTTGCTTTTAACCTGAGTTTCATTCTTTCTTTGAGCTGCTCCGGTCTCGACTGGATTTGCCTCGGATGTGGTCTGATGACATCATAGATTTGTTCACGATCTAGGCGAGGAAACAGCGAGACCCAGTCAAGTCTCAGGTGGGATTCAGCCGACCCCACTCACCCACTCCAATCCCAAACCCGAGGCGGAACGATAGCGAGCGCCTACCGCAAAAGCTAGACAGAAGGACGAGTTCTTCTTTTTGAGCAAGGCACTAATCGATCTCGGCCCCGAAGCCGCACAGTTAAAGTCTTACGAAGCAAAATGCCAAATGCTTCGTACCTACGAAGGATTTGCTCCCTACGAAGCGTCCAAATCCTTCGTATTACAAAGGATTTGGTATTTTTCTTCGTAAGACTTTAACAGTGCGGACACGCTTATCTTGGCACGGTGTCTGCGTATTAGGCCCTTTCACTGGTTCAACTTTTTTTAGCGGTTTGTTAAAGGTGTAATCGTAACATACAGTTAACAGTTAATCTCCAACCGAACTAAAGTTATAAACTAAACTAGTTAACAGCAAGCCGTTGGTTAAAGTTGTAACACTAACTTGTAACTCACGCCATCCGTGTTATAAGTTATTCACAAACCCAACTTAGGTTGGTTACATGCTTAACAGTTTAGGGCTGTACCCGAAACTTCTTCGTTATTTTGATACCGTATAAAAAATAACGCAGGCCATACTGATACGATAAATAACGTAACGTTAAGAAATAACTTCAATTTCGGTACAGTCAGTAACTAACGTATGTTTGCGTTATGATAAGTTACGGACCCCTGGTGGGCAGGTAATGCAGCCTTTCTCAACCCAAACGGTAAATTTGCTACCAGGGCTTGAAATTTACTGGCCAATGTTGCCTGTAAATTCACTTGCGTGGGCTTGTAAGTGGCTCTTTACCAGCCCACTGACTGGGCATGTAAAGGCTACTTTACAGCCCAAACAGCAAATTTCCAATCCATGTGTTGCGAATTCCCAGCCCACTGAACTGTAAAATTACTTATATCTTTTACAGTGTGGTCCACGGAGTATAAATGATGTTCCTGGCGAAACCCCAGAAATTAAAAGGTTAATTGGAATACCTTTTACTTGCCTTTCACCCGCAATTTAACATCCAAAATGGTTTATGTCGTTTGCCATGCTAAACCACGTACTATGAATAGTGCTTCTGGTCACACGCAACAGTAAAGCGGTATACCGCTACTATGATGTTTCTGGTCACTTTCAAGAGTACAGCGGTACACCGCAATACCTTTCACTTCCCTTTCACCCACCACCAGTTTTAGGCCAAAAAATGTTTCTGTTTGGGTCAGTGGTCAACGGAATATACATTATGTTCCTGCTGAACCACTAGAAAGAATCAATGAGGTTCTTGTTCCTAAGTATCACCGGGAATATTTTTCATAGACTGTGGGCCACCGTAGTAAGAAGCAGAAAACAATTTCTGCCCGAAACAAACAGTATAATGGTTTCTCGCAATACCTCTCACTTTCCTTTTACCACTAGTTTCGGTCCAAAACTGTTATTGCTTTTGACCGAAGTGGTCCGCGGAGCATAAATTATGTTCCTCGAGCAACCCCAGAAATAAGAAGATAAATCGTAATACCATTCACTTCCCTTTCACCACCAGTTTCGGTCCATAATTTTCATTGTTTTTGCCTACAGTAGTCCGCAGATTATAAATGATGTTCCTAGCGAAACACCAGAAATTAAAAGATAAATTAGAACACCTTTCACTTGCCTTTCACCATCAATTTGACATCCAAAATGGTTTATGTTGTTTGCCTTGCTAAATCACGTACTATGAATGGTGTTTCTGGTCACTTTCAACAGTATAGCGGTATACCGGAATACCTTTCACTTCCCTTTCACCACCAGTTTTGGGCCCAAATTTGTATTGCTTTTGACCACAGTGGTCTGCGGAGTATAAATTATGTTCCTCGCGCAACTCCAGAAATAAAAAGATAAATCGTAATACCTTTCACCACCATTTTCGGGCCAAAATTGTTATTGTTTTTGCCCACAGTGGTCCACGGAGTATAAATGATCTTCCTGGTAAACCCCAAAAAATAAAAAGATAAATTGGCCGAAGTGAAAGGTATTCCGGAATACCTTTCACTTCCCTTTCACCACCAGTTTCGGGCCAATGTTGTTTTTTTTTGGCCACAGTGACCCACGGAGTACAAATGATGTTCCTGGCGAACCCCCAGAAATAAAAAGATAAGTCGCAATACCTTTTTACTTGCCTTTCACCAGCAATTTGACATCCAAAATCGTTTAGGTTGTTTGCCATGCTAAACCACGTACTTTGAATGGTGTTTCTGGTCACTTGCAAGAGTATAGCGGTGTATCGCAATACCTTTCACTTCCCTTTCACCACTAGTTTCGGGCCAAATCTTTTTCTGTTTTTGGCCACAGTGGTCCACGGAGTAAATGATGTTCCTGGCGAACCTCCAGAACTGTGGCCGAAAACAGAAACATTTTTGTCCCGAAACTGGTGGTCGAAAGGGAAGTGAAAGGTACTGCGGTATACCGCTTTACTGTTAATAAAAATGCTTGGGAAAACAATTCATAGTCCATGGACCAGTGTGGCCAAAAGAAAAACATAAGCCTTTTTTATGGTAAATAGCTGCTAAAAGGGATGTGAAAGGTGTCGCGATGTACCATCTTAACGGTAAAGGTTTACGAGGTACATCATCTATACTCCGAGCCGTGATCCACCGTGGGAAAAACAGAAACAATTTTGGCTTGAAACGGAAGGTAAATGTGAAGTAAAAGGTATCCCGCGAAGGACGTGGCTCGAACCCGAAGGGTCGAAAGAGCCCGCGGGGTTGCGAGGAACCGCGGGCTCGCTTGACGCTCTCCCGTGAATGAGGCACCATGTGGGGTACGCAACGTATGTAAACATAGCTAGGGCCCCCGCGAGTACAACCCCTACCCCTTCTCAAGAGCCCTAATGTTGCCTTTTCCAACACGGTAAAAACGGCGTCCTAGTTTTCATGACGTTTTGGAAAAACCATGAAGTCTTATGGAAGAAATGCATAGGAATCGTCATGGTTTTCCAAACGTCATGAAAACCAGGACGTCGTTTTTACCGTGAACAGCGCCTGCGGCCAGCGGGTAGGCAGCCCAACAAACCGTCTGGTAGCGGGTGACACATCCAGTACATCCCGCCCCCACCCAACCGCGAGGTCTTGGTGATAAGACATTTTCTGGGAGGAGATTTTCTGTGTCGTGAGGATTCTGTGTCGTGAGGATTCTGTGTCATGATTTTCTGTGTCGTGAGGATTCTGTGTCGTGAGAAAAATGATTCTGTGTCGTGATTTTCTGTGTCGTGAAGATTCTGTGTGGTGACGTGCTTGCTTTCTGGGTGTTGAAAGATCCCTCCACAATTTTCTGTGTCGTGAGGATTCTGTGT